ACATGAAGTCCAGCTGTAGGTTGCACTTGAACTCGAGATTCAATGGTGTCAGCTTTTAGTCTCAGCCCGTAACATTCCGGCGCAGATACCAAGTCTTGAGGAATATCTGCCTTGTCTTGGGGGTCATCAGAACCAGCTCACCGCTTGCAACCACACATTTGAACCAGACCTCAGTTATAATGAAGGGACAAGACCATGCGTCTATTTCGCGTTTCATGATGTACATTGTTGCACAGATATAATTACACGTTATTCGTACCACCCCTGGCACGCCATCCTCTATCCAATTCCCAGCCCCCCGTTTTCCCATTTCATTCATTGAGCCGGAGGTGTTGTTGAGGGGGGTATCGAAGCATCTACAGCCGCCGCCTTTGGCACGCCAGCCTTCTTCTTCTTGAGAGCAGCAGCCTCTTTCCTTTGAGCAAGAATAGCTCCAAGCTTCTCCAACATCTCTGTGCTGAGCTCGGGCTCTCCCTCGGCAGCACGCTTCTCGCGCTGCATCTCGTGGAACTCTTGCAGAGGAGTCTGCATAGACTTGATAGACTCCTGTTCGGCCTTCTTTGCTGCTGCCTCGGCCTCCTTCTGCTCCACATACCACTCCTCGTGGCGTGTTCGGAACTTGGAGAACTTGTTTCGCAACTCGTCGATAACGGTCTCGGGCATGGGAGGGGAGAGGAGGTTGTAGTAGAACGTTCGGTTATCGACAGTCTCACGGATGGTATCACCATCGAAAGTCTCGAATTCTGGGGCCTCAACCTCGGGCCAGGGGATGACAACATTGATTCCAGGAACAATTCGATCCCACTTGTTTCCGTATTCCCATCGGTCGAAGCTCATGTTGGGGGACTTCATGTTCGGGGGAATAGCCTTAAGCTCATTGATAATGACGTCTCTTGTGACTCCGGTTTCGGGGTTGGCGATAGGATAGACGAGACGAATAGAACCAATCGAGAGGGGCATGGGCTGAGAGCGACTGTCGTTTCCAAACATACCAGAAGAGATAGCCTAGGAATCATTAGTCCCTACTCAAGCCTTACCGAGTTATGGTGCTTACCCTGTGACATTTCTCGAGAGTAACATATCCTCCTTGAGCATTGATCGTCTTGATGCGATCAATCTTGCCCTTGTCCGGTCCATCCATGATAACCACACGGTCTGAAACGGCAAGGTTAAGCTGCTTCAAACCACCAGCCCAAGCACACCTCTTAGCCAGAACCTCAGGTCTTGGCCGGTAAAGGCCATAGTTGGACCAATCCGTTCGTACACCCTCCCCAAACATGCCATAGCCATTAAAGCCGAGATCCCGCTTGGGAGCAATAGGGCCCAGTGCCCAGTCTTCCTGTCTCGCCCTTCGCGCATCCTGCAGATTCTGTCGGACCTCAGAGACAGCCGCTCGCATGGCCTGTCGGTTTCGGAGCTTGTAATTGTTCTCTTCAGATTTGGCGGCTTTTTGGGCTCGTCGGCCAGCCTGGCGCTGGGCCTGGACGACCCGCTTGGCAAGCTTCTGCATGGCGGAGAACGAGCTGCGAGGATTGATCGAGGGGATTCGCAGGCTCTAGCAGCTCATTGAGCGGATTGAAGCTGTTGGCGCCGAATTGTCGCTGGGCGTTACGATAATTCGTTGTGGAGTGCGTGGTTGAGCTGGAAATTCTCTACGTCCAACGGAATTAGCCGCAGTAGTGTAGGTGCGGATAGTGGCCAAGCACTGTACCCCGCACTATGCTCATGATAGCTTCATGTTGTGTTACTATAGAGGCTGTGATGTCGAGCTGCAATTCTTTTTACATGACTCTCACTGCTATAGCTTACGAGAGATGAGCTCACACTATCATTTATGCCATTTTTAACACCACGGCAGACCTCTTTTGTTCTACCAAAGCAGTCCACATCCACTCAACTGCATATAATGATGCTTGATTAGACACATAGATCTCAGTGATTCTTCTGTGAGTACTCCACTGGTCCATTTCTTGTGCCCTGCAAGTCTATCTCATCGCAATGCTTGTTTTTCTTTCGTCATGCAACCTCTATTGAAACCGGTCTGGGACGAGAATCATGCAGATGTGACAGAATGACTTGCTAATCCAATATCACTCCGAATAGCAACGAAGTGATAATATATCACACATGAGTTCACATATTGATCAATCATCAAGGCTGGGGTTGCATTGCCGCTGAGAGGTCTCTGAGGATGACCTTCAAGATCAGCACGTATTTGGCGGTCAGAATCACGAATGTGGCAGACACAATCAAATAATCCTGGCCCCAGGGAGCAAGAAAACCTAAGAGTTTAGAAGAAGACGATGCTCAATTAATGAAACCCATCAAAGAGCCACCAAAGTTGAGACTAACTTACATTTAGGATCAAGAGCTTTAGCTTTCGTACCTCTGGACTTGATATACAAATGTACGAGTATCATGACTGACCCTAATCGTCCGTGATACATATCCCGTCTAGCCCGTCAATCAGGGTCCTTGAGGCTTGAGCCTAGAGGCAAGATAATCAGGGGAGGAGGTTGGATGAAAGTCCTACGCTTTTGGGCCAGCGTAGGACTTTGCTGCCCACTGTAAGCTCTTATTACTGGCCGTTCCGTCGCCCTAGGCTTTTGGCTTTGGCACGCGGAGGCGGGATGGCACAGGGCGCATTGCATGACGGACCAGGGGTTAGAAGCTTGTGCCAGCTTCACTTCTCTTTGTTTGTGAAGATACCTTGGGCGGTGATTGATGACGCGGAAACACATGAGAATATGTTAGCGATGGAGCTACTCCGTATATAGGAGTCAAAGCAGGAGACAGAGAGAGCATTGTCAACTTCCCGGCAGTAATCAGCCGGAAATCAAGGTCATCAACTTCAAACGTCTATCAAAAATTTAAAATGGGTGCTATCCTCATGCCATCCACAACAGTTTGAACAGCCGTTGGTGATAGCCGCCAGATCCCAGCTGGAAATCACAGAAAGGCAGATCTAGGCAATCCACAAGAAGGCTTTTCAATGCTTTCCAATGAGGACAGATTCAATCACGGACCTCTGAGGCTGATGGCTGGTTGATTAGACTCATCCTCTTCAGATGATAGAAACCGAGCCACGGTTTCAGCCTCGGCGCTATGGAGCCTAAAGCGTTCCATCGTGCATGTCTAGATGAGATGATAGTGAAGCACCAAGCAACTTAAAGCCAACATCTACACCGCAGCAGGACTGTCTGATGGACCAAGGACTGTTGAGCACGTCAGACCGATAGGAATTGTGCAGAAGGACGGGATGGCTGATAGACCGGCAAAGAGTCAGAAAGAGGACCTCGCCTCTGTCATTGTGAAGAATGACAGCGTAGGTAGGTAGGTCGGTACAGTACAGCTCAAAGAAGCCATCTTTGCAGTTTGTAGCAGCTCATTCTCATTGACCGTCAGTCCGTCAATCAAACTAAACCGGCTTGACCAAACGGCCAACGCCGTTACCCTGGCCCATGATATTGTCCGTCGTCCAATGTCATCGACCAGTTCATCAAGCAGCCGGCTCTTATCTCATCTCGTCATCATTATCACTGGCATTCTCTGTTTCAGACTCACGTAAATGGTCAACGACGCAACACAACGCAACCACTGCATGCAAGCAGAGCAAAAGCAACCAAGCGACCTACCAAATAACAACGGGCCTCCCGCACATCTATCCATCCAATCTGTCCCGTCCTGCATCTGCCACTGAAAGTTTGGCGGAGCACTCTCGGTAAGATGGATAAACTGGGTCAGTTAATTCCCCTCCTGGGAAATAACTTAGCAGACCTAGGGAGGCTTGTGACGCGCACTGCCCAGAACCTTTCGCACTGTGACCAGACCCCACTAATCACTCACTGAAAAGGAGACGGTGTTAGCGGTTGTTGCCACCCACCAGCCGAAGCCAGGGCTACGCCGTTGGTTGCCTCAGGATGGGCCCTTTCCGCGTAATGTGACGGAGCAGAAGTACCGTTTGTGTGTGGAAATATCGGTCAAAGTGTACCTTGACCAAGGGCCAAGTGAGTGTTTCTTTTTTTGAGCCCAGCCCAGTCCAGGGGAAACATTCATCATCAAAGAGCCCAGTCCGGGCCCCAGCAGCTCGCAGCCCCAGCAACAGACGGGAGGGAAACAACAAAGCTTGCTGCAGCCTTGTCAATCCCGGACTGATTGAAGATGCCCTGGATGTGATGTGATGTGATGTTCGGGAGGCTTATCTACGCGGACGGCTGTCGACACTTTCGATATGATAGTTCAAATAAGCACAAAGGATATATGACAAGCTAGAGGCATATAGCATTAGCCAAGTGAATCAACCTCCAAACTTGGTTCTGATTCAAAGCCGAAACCTACTTTCAGCTGTCATTGTCTGCTCTAAGCTCTTAGATCCATAGGTAGGTACCTACGCTATCAAAACACAGTGCGATTTGCAAACGCCTTGGTTGTCCTCAACTCAACAACCCTGCCCAACCCCCAGCATCGCCGGCACCAAGACCTCTGATACTGGCACTTGGTACTTTGATTCCAGCACTCTTGACACGCTATTCGGAGGTACCTCTCTCTTTTCCTTTGAACTGCCCTGGCTGCCTGCTGTCCTGTGCTTGCCCACCCACTGTTGGGTCCTATCCAGTCCTGGCGCCCGCCCCGGGCTATCGCTCCAGTGCCTGCAGTGCAGTCGGGCCCCTAGTCCTAGCGAGAAAAAAACCAAGCCCAAGCCTATTTCACCCAAAAAACCAAAGCCCCTTCTTCTTCCTCGCGTCTCTTTTCTGACTGAGGTGCTCGCTCTCTCTACTGCCAGTCCCAACCTGACCTAACCCAACTCATAACTCTCCCGTCCTCTTTCTCTATCCATCCATCTCCCATCTCCCATCCCCATCGACCCGCAGCCGCCGCTCTCCGCGAAACTCACAACCTGCACCATCTCCCAAGCTCAAGCTCAAGCTCGCATTTCACGCCAGCAATCTTCGTCCATTTCTCTCAACTTTTTAACCAAAAACCACATCTAATCAATAACCATGGCTGAGATCCGCCGAAAGCTCGTCATTGTCGGCGATGGTGCTTGTGGTAAAACCTGTTTGTTGATGTGAGTTGGCCTTCTATCACGACACGACACGACTTCAAAGTCGACTTCCCGTCGCCCATCACGTTCCTATCCATCTCCACGTTGGCATCACAATGTCTCTATCAAACAGAATCCTCAAGAACAGGACTATGTGATGGTTTCTGGCTTCTTGGACAGCCCAGCGCTTCACATCGCTTGTCGCCATCAGCTCTATCGTTACCGTGATAGACGCACATCCCCCTTGCTTCACCTCACCGTCCTCCGTCGCCGTTTTCATTACCATCATCGCTATCATGAATCTTTACCGCCTGATCAACACAATGCTAATCAATCCTGCAGTGTTTTCTCCAAGGGCACTTTCCCCGAGGTAAGAATTGACTTTCTTGCGGCGTTGCCTTTCAACCTTCGCACGCTTAGCCACGCGGCTTGACAAACAGCCGTATCATGCAACGGGCATCACCACAAAAACCTCCCTGCTGACAATTCCGCCTTCAGGTCTACGTCCCCACCGTTTTCGAGAACTACGTCGCCGATGTCGAGGTCGATGGCAAGCACGTCGAGCTCGCCCTATGGGATACTGCTGGTCAGGAGGATTACGACCGTCTTCGACCCCTGTCCTACCCCGACTCCCATGTTATCCTGATCTGCTTCGCTGTTGACTCTCCCGACTCTCTCGACAACGTCCAGGAGAAGGTTTGTTCTCCCTCCAGTGCCAGATGGCTGGATGTCAGTTTCTTTGATACAACTTTGCTGACACGTGCTCTTACAGTGGATCTCTGAGGTTCTGCACTTCTGCCAAGGTCTCCCTATCATTCTCGTCGGCTGCAAGAAGGACTTGCGATACGACCAGAAGACCATTGAGGAGCTCCGAAAGACCAGCCAGAAGCCTGTCTCCCCCGAGGAGGTACGATATATTGCCCCAACAAGCGCCAAATCAAGCTCTTGAAACTTGATTGGCCAGCTTGCTGCACGTCATCTTAAAACATGCTAACGGTTATCGATAGGGTGAGGAGGTTCGCAAGAAGATCGCTGCCTACAAGTACCTTGAGTGCTCAGCCAAGACCAACGAGGGCGTCCGCGAGGTGTTTGAGCACGCTACTCGCGCTGCTCTGCTGTCGCGAAGCACCCGTGGTAGCAAGCACAAGAAGTGCCTTGTTCTGTAAAGGGCGCTATGGAAGCCCTCTGAGCGCAGTCCACGCGCACGTGTCGTGGCTTGACCCTGCGTTGTAATCCTTTGTCGTTCCAGTTCAACCTCAACTTGGCCCCGGCAGTTCGGATACGGGTTCGTGGCAGCCAAGAAGAAGAAGGCTGTCGGCATGCATCGGTTTTCTCGGAATCTGGAGTTTGATATCGTCTCGCTCATGTCTGGTCCATCGGCCTACGCGCCGACCCTTCTCGCTGGATTGATGGTTTTCTTGTCGGCAGAGCCCATGGTTTCTTGGACCTCCTGAATCTTGCAGGTGGTTACTTTTCCCGGCAGATACCTCGTCTTTTTTATTATCACCACTGGCATGCGAGCGGGACCTTTGTTTTATGTATGTGCTTGTCGCGCATGGGGGAGGTGGGCCAGATGTCTTTTTTCTTGTTGGAGGGGCTGTTGAGGAGGAGGATGAGGAGTGGCTCTCGTTCCTCGCTCTCCTGCCAGGTCTGTTGGTCACTACGGACTGACAGATGAGGAACTATCAGGGAGAGGTGTCAGGAGGCCGAGAGAGGCTCCGTGGGCTGGTCACGGCGAGAGCGTTTGAGTCTGCTTGTGTGTGGATATGGGGTCCGGCTGGGGGAACCACGTCGGTCCAGGCCATAAATCTTTTCGTTTTTTCTCTTGAAGCCTCGAGACCGTTACTTAGACCATGGAGATGGGACATCTATTGCGTAGGGCCTGCCTGTTTAATCTCTTGATTTTTTGTATATCCTGTCTATATGTTTTTGTGATGTTATTGTACGTACAGTATGCTCTTGAACGACGTGACCCTCCCTATCTGAGTATCTAGACCTACCTTAGTAGCCTGTCTTGTTTGTATGTAACTTATTATGCATTGACATGTCATGTTACACTGCTTATGACTGGCTGTCATTCCTCAAACCAACTTGAACCAAGATGCTTATCCGTCTTGGTATGCGTATCTTGACTGGTCTTATCAAAGACAGCCTCCTTGTCCACGTGCCAATGTCTAGTCATGTGGCCCCCATCCCATGCTAGACTCTTTGATCGGCGCCGAGCCTATTTTGGTTTGGGTGATACCGGTGATGTAATCCCATCAATCACTGTGGAAGTGAGGCAGTTGCTATGATCAGCTATGCGAGCGCGGCGCAGCTCAAGAGGGACAGTTCACGATGCACGCATATACGATAATATGAGGTGAATATCAATCTTGCTTCCTCAGTATCGAGATAAAACAATGAGCGAGCGAGCGTATCCTCTGCTTCACAATACCACCCAATGCATGCACAAATAAACCGTCCAAGAAAAGAGTGCCGCTATCGAAGAGCGGCCTCATCACAACAACCACCCAAACCCCCAACCACACTCCGTTGTATGCATCCCTGGCCTAGCCTAACACCGGTATAAACAACTTCTCGTCCGTCTCATCATTTCATCGTGAATCTGTCTCTTGTTCTTTGCGGAGTTTAGACGGGGCAGTGCTGAAAGCAGTCAGCATCATGTAAGATAAGGGAGAGACGAGAGGGCAAGTATTAGACATACAGCACCACAGCTACCGCAAGTCTTGCCGGCGCCCTCGATGGCGGCGTTGCACTTGGGGCAAGTGTTGTCATGGTAGTCAACAAGAGGCTGCATCTTGAGTGATTGATATACGACGAGTGTGTGTTGAGGATAGAAAGGGATGAACCTAGTTTGGATGTATGGAGATGGCTACAGAGAGAGAGCACTGAAGAAGGGACCACAGAAAGAGGGGAAAGGCAACCTAATATATAACCAACTGTCAACCTCAAACAAATCCATTCCCGTCCTCTCTCACACGAGATTTACGTATGTTTCTCTATCCCAAAGCGGGGTTCTTTACCTGTAAGCGCAAATAGCGGGCTTCTGCTTTGTTTTACCCCCTCCTGCTATTCGTTGCGTGTGACACCCCTCTCCTTGTGCTTGTCCTCTTTGTAGCTTCACTTTCTCTATGTGATCCACTTGCTGTGAGGTACGGCAATAACGTGGCACACTGTATGGATGCTGACTTGTTTTGGAGAACAGATAGTGTAAGTCATGTTGCGTTATCCCGCGGAGGTTGAGAGTTGTGTTGGAGATGGGTGGGGAATGAAGGATCGTGTGAGGAACAGGTCATAATAGCTTCAGCGGTGTATGAATAAGTTGTTCTTGCGATATGAATGTTGAAATACACAAGGTCTGAAAGCAATAGTTTCTCCGAAATGCTGCTATTAACCAGGAGTATTGGCTTCGACTTGTTGGTCAAAGCATGGTGACTACATCGCCAGACATCATAGCTTCACCTCACCCATAAGCAGAGATAAGAAGAGCAATAAGAATACGAGTTCATCTGCCGAAGAACTGAAAACTCTATCATGATTGAAATACCGATATCACGCCATGCAACTCCTTACACGATCCAATGTACAGGGTACATGGTTTTCTTTGATCTTATTTGATAGACTTCCATCCAAATCATCCGCCTTTTTTACATAATTTATATATCTCAAGCAGCGATACTCCCTGCAGTCACGCATCCTGCTTTCATGTGTACTATCTTACACGCTTTTTGTCCCGGTAGGGTCTATGTCTGTTGTGCTTCGTTATGATATGATGTTGTTATAAAAAAAAGGGAAAAGGTAAAGGTAAGAAACGCCTGGTACTTATACACACTGCGCCGGTCCATCTTTGCCTGCGGAGTGTCAGTACATGTTCCAACGTCCAATAGTCGACTACCCAGATCTTCACAGGGCATACAGGGGAACTCACTGTTGATCATCTTCTGCACAGCCTGGATCACACTAATGACCATGACAATCATGCCAAACACGACCACCGCACCCGCCATATATGTCCGCCAGCTTCGTGTCGTCAACTTCATATAGCACAATGGAGGCAAGATGTAAGCCATGGCCACAGCACTCGTGGCTCCAACAAGCTCAAACACAGCACCAAGATCACAAGTCACCAAACTTAGCACTAGAGCTGACGCAACAAGACTTGTGCTGAAGAGGAGATGGCGATTCATGTTGAAGGGCTCGTCAGGGAAGAAGTATGTCAACATCACTTCACGGCAGACAAATGCCTCCAAGGGCAAGGTGGTGAGCATGTTGAGGCCAAAGCAGAGACGTGCTATGTTGACCATGGTGTTGTCTGCTGGAAAGTTGTTGAGAACATTGCCTAGCGTCTTGTCACCAAAAGTAAGGAAACCACCTAGAGCGAGGACAAGACAGAACACCATCGATATACCAGTTGAGTAATGAGTGACTCGAGAAAAGTTATCAATGGTAGGTGTCTTGAGAGACCCGTAGATCAGGAGCGAGTTGTGATGGCAAACGAAAGCTGTATAGGTCAGCAACTCTGGCCATAAAATCAAGTTATCAGGACAGATCCTTACCGAATGAAATAACACCAATGGCCTGGAAGAAACCACCATTGAAGAGGAGGAGTGAAGGAGTAAACGAGCCCCGTTCTGACGAGGGCGTCAAGATGCCTTGTATAAGGATGGTGAGGACAATAACCACCATACCAACAAGCGCAAACGTGCTTGCCTTGGCCAACTACTCAAATCTCATCAGTCCATGTTCCAGCAGGCCGGTCCACGTTGTAATTCTCACCTTTGAAATATCGCGATACAGCGTAAGGGGATACGCAATGCCCATCACAAACACCGCGATCGCGACCTGTCGATTTGCCAAGAGTCCTATTACAGGCACATTCGACAAGTTTGGCCACACAGCGACCAGAACATGAGGAATCGTATCGCCAACAATGACACCATATGCGACCATTCCGCCAAACGCAAAGACCCATTGCGCAACACTGATAGCGATCAGCCCGGAGTGTCCAAAGCAATGCTCAACTGTTCCTTGGAAATGGCTCGTTCCGCTGAGCTTGCTATTGATGACAATAAGACAGATCGTCCAGTCGACTACGACGGTCAAGCCTACCAGCAGGAGAATGCCTCCGACCAGTCCGGCCTGGCGCACAGCGTATGGTTGTCCAATGATGCCCGCACCGATGATGGAGTTCGCCATGTTCATGAAAGCTGATTTGAGTCCTGACTTGGGTCGATTCATCTCATGCTCAGCTTGTTCCGACGGATCCCCCATCGAGTTCGCAAGAGCAACACTTGGCGCTTCAATGTTGGTCAACAGCGGCACACGATGCGCCCGGCCCGGACTCGTCGCCTCCTCGACATCAAAGTACGCATCATCTGAAGATCGTCTCTCACGATCCGCAAATCCGCCAAAAGCTTCTCCATTGCTAACGCCCACGATCTCCGGCGTCAAGTCGAAGCGTACGCGGCTGGGAGTCCGGGGCTGGCCATCAGTCTCGACTTTGCCTGAAGCCTTTCCTAAATCTGCGCTGGCGTTTCCACTGCTATAGTCGTCGTCGCCCACACCAAAATAGTCGTCGTCGTAATCGTGCCCGCGTTCTAGGAGGCCGCGGTCTTCGCCGTGCGGGTTCGGGGGGCCATCGTTCCTGGCGTGCGTCATTGTCGAAGGGGAGTAGCAAGTTGGTATTGCGTGTACATTTTCCCCTGGAAGAGTAAAGGATTATGTTCGATTCGCTCGCGTATATGCCAAAAAGTAAGAAATAATCAAATAATTAGTGTAAAAGATTGACGGCGAAGCAAAAGGCTACAAAGTCGAATGGTTGTAAGTTGTAAGTGGAAAGGTCCTATTCCAAGGATAGGTCTGTCGGTTGGTTGTCTGTCCTTCCCCCAGATAAGCATGGATAGCAAACATTAGCGTCATTTGCAGCATGATAGGCGCTGGGATTGGCGTAATGCCCCTTGTGAAATCGCTGGAATCGACCGCTAGCTGTGTCTAGGCTTATGCAGGGGCACGGATCATTCCAAGAGTATTTGAAGAGGTGTTAAATAAAGGGTGAGGCTTCTATTGAGAAGGTTTGTTTGTTGTTCGAGAAATAATTCAACAGTTGTATTATGGAGTATTCGTTTCTGAGGTATAACGCCATCTCGCCGTTGTTGATCGTGCCTCAAACCTACCAGACTCCAAGACCCTGGGGATTCCAGGTACTCAAAAATAGGGGTCCAATTTATACTCTCCTTTTCAACGGCTGTATTCAAGGGGCGTCCACCAAAACCTTACAACTGTCGTCTAGGAGTGAGAATAAGCTATGATTGTCCATACAACGATACTGACATTCACAAGCTGATGATTCACTGGCGCCATCAGAAAGCAATTCAGTCCATCCGATGTTTGTTTCTATTGATGGTGTTGGTCTATGTCTACCAAAAAAAATACTTGTAGCATAGCTTCATCT